TTTGTTAGAAAACGGTTTTTCCCATTCAGCCTTAACTTTGCGCATGTAAAAATCCGGAAAGGGAAAAGCCCTTTCAGACAGATCATCCGGAGGAAAAAATTCATCCGTAATTTCAGACCCTTCATACAGTTCTGCCTCCTCAGAACTTTTGAGTTTGGATTTTTGTAAATTTTGAATTTTAAGGGCTGAGACTGTCTTAGACAGTAGGTAATGGAGGTCCTCAGGTTTAAAAAATCTAAAGGACTGTTGTGGAGGAGCGGGGATGGCAACCTCCTCTTCAGCGTTAGAACTAAACTCCCCCTCCTCTCTCTCACTGGAGGCATTAGAACTGTTCTCTCCCTCCCCCTGAGTAACTGCAGGGTGGGTACGTTTAGGGAAGACCTTTTTTGCAGCCTTGGTGGGCCATTTCTTTTTGCTCTTGCTTGGGGGAGGAGAGGGGGAAGACGACGGAGATCGTGACCTGCTAGATCGTCCTCCCGAATTACAGAAACGGGCGATCTCCTGTCTCATAGCTCTCCTAAAGAAGTACATAACCCTAGTGGATAAGGGAGCAGACGTGTCGTCACATTCGTTACCTCCTCGGGTGGCTCCTTCCCCTCCTCCGTCAATCTCCCGGGCAGCCTCAATTTGAGTGCTCGCTGCTTGGTCGGATCCGCTTAGACCAATAGTCTCGGATCGCCCCCCGCCCTGCAAAGGGCTGCATCGCTCGTTATTAGCATCTAAAATGGCCGCCGCCATCTCTGAGGACTCCAAGAGCGAATGGGAGCTTTTGGCGCGTTTAGCCGCGCCGTGCGATTCTGCCGCCCGATCCTTGCCGTCCGGCGCTCTTTTTCGGCCAGCGCGGCTTTCCTCTCTTTCGATTTCCCCCGAAGAGAGAAATCCATCGGTTTCTCCCCTGCGTGCCATAGCCGCCTTGGGAGAGGAGTCTTACGAAGCAAGCTAAAGAAGGGAGGGGGGGGAGAGAGGAGCTAGATCGACAGAAGAGGCTTTTTTTTTTTTTTTGAATCTAACAAGCAGGCAAGGTGAAAGAAAGACTTGAAGAAGAAACAGGAATCTTGAAGTGAGGTAACAGATAAAAGATTGAATAGTGCAGGCGAAGCCTAAATTAGTCAATGCTCTCCCTACTGAGGCAGGAAGAAAACTGAGCTGAGGGTGACTCCCAACACAGGAAACAGGAAACAGTTTGAAGTTCCTGCCTCCCTAAGAGATGGTTGGGAATCACCCACAAGATGGCCTCCACCTCAGAGGGAGAATGCCAATAAAGTAGTAAAAATAATATCGAATCTGCCTGTGAAAAATCTATGTAATGATCATGCGCTATCTGATTGCCATAATTTCATCTTTCACAGAGTGGAGAGGGCTGGCATTGATTCTCAGGGCCGCCCTACAGGAGATACTCTGAAAGACTTCTTGATGAGCCCTCTGAACTGTCTCCTGCTGCCCCTCCTGCAACGACCCATTCAAAAATTTGCCTTCTCTGCCAAGGGTCGATTTTTATAAATTACTGGTGTTCCAGGGCATCGGGGCAAAGTATCATTATAGAAACTGTTACTGGAACTTCCTGTTCAACATAATAAAAAGGCATATATGAGCTTCAGTTTCTTTCTGAACACAAAACACGAAGAGTCTCCTTTGATCAGGACACAGGTACTTCCAGGCAAGCATCCCATTTTTCAGTGGAGGCTAGCCAGATGCTTCAGAAAGGCCACAAATAAGGCACGAAGGCAACAACTCTCTTCTGCTATTTGTCCCCCAGCAAACAGTCAGAGGCAGGGTTCCCTCTAAGCTGAGTTAGTGTGAGCTAGCTCACAGTTTTTTAGCCTCCGGCTCACACATTATTGCCTTAGCTCAGGAAGGATGGCTCCAGAGGAAACTTATTTATGCAGTAGCCAAATTGCTTACTCACAACTTTAATGCCAGTAGCTCACAAAGCAGAATTTTTGCTCACAAGACTCCACAGCTTAGAGAGAGCATTGGTCAGAGGTACATTGCTTCTAAACATGGAGGTTCTATTCAGCTATCATGGCTAGTGGCTGTTGATAAGCACATCCTCCACAAATTCATCTAATCAACGTTTAAAGCTATCTAAGTCAATGCCCAAAAAATCCTGTGGCACATCTGGGGATGCTCACAGAACCCAGGTATTTAAAAACCAGGCTAGCGTAGCAGACAAGAGAGCTCTCTATCATCTGCACCTGGTTCCCTGACTCTGGCTACACAGATCCATGCTTTTCTAACCTCATGGCTGGATTACAGTAATATGCTCTGTGTTGGGCTGCCCTTGAAGACGATCCAAAAACTGTAGCTGGTTCCGAATGTGGCAGACTAATTACTGTCAGGGGCTAGCTGACGGGAACATATTTCACCTGTCTTAAAAACAACTATGCTGGCTGCCAGTACATTTCCAAGCCCAATTCAAGGTGCTGGTGATGAACCTTAAAGCCCTCCATGGCCTAGGACAGTGATGGCGAACCGAGTGCCCAAACTGCGACCCAAAACCCACTTATTTATCGCAAAGTGTCAACACGGCAATTTAACCTGAATACGGAGGTTTTGCTTTAGAAAAAACAACCCATACATTAACTTAAGATGATCCAAACAAAGTAAGGAAAGCAATCCCAAATGTTTTCATTTACTTAAAATTATTTGGCAGAGCATTCGACACTTTAATGATGGTCTGGGCCTGGCTGGGGCGATGGCATGCGTGCCCAGAGAGGGCTCTGAGTGCCACCTCTCGCACCCGTGCCTTAGGTTCGCCACCACTGGCCTAGGACATATCAAAGGGACCATTCCCTTTCACATTTCCCTATGTGCCAAATAGGGAAATCAGAGTGCCCCCTAGTGGCTGTTCCCCCACATAAGGAGGCCTTCCTCCTGGCATCAACCAGAACTTGTGTTTACACCTTTGTAGATCTTACTCTGTGGAACTGGGTTCCCTGGGGTATTGAGGGAGTACAGTCATTAGAAATCGTCAGCAGGTACTGCAAGGCCATTTTAAGGCCAGGACTTGTAACAGGGTATAGACTGTACGTGGCTACCTTGGGTTCTATTCTATTGGTTTTAAATTGTAGTGTTTTAACTGTGACTTGTAAGCCACCTCAAGCCATAAGGAAAGGTGGGATATAAATATTTTTATTAATTACAAGTTGTGTGAAAAGGTCTCTCATTTATTTATCTGAAATCAATTTCCTGGGTGACCCTGTTCCCCTGATGGTCCATTAAGCATGAAACGGACATCCCCCTGTGCATTTTCTCTACCCATGAGGGGACGGGAGAAATCAAAGCAGCAGAAAGTTATTCCCAAGATGCTCTTCAATGGATACCTGATTCCCTCCGTACCGGCAGACCTGTCATTGTCCAAAAACCTATTCAGAACAACTCCAGTGATTCCCAGACCCATCAAAGTTTGGCTCAGTGACATCAACATGGAGACAGAGCTTGGCTTTGTGATGTTGCCTATGTGATCCCTGACTGGCTGGGATAGCCTTGGGAAGAAGCTTTTTAAAAAACTCAACAGGTGTCCAAGCTGAGGTGGGAGAAGCAGCATCTTCAAACAGGCAGAAAACAGCATGCAAAAAAGGTTGATGGGGAGAAGAGGGTGGGGGGACAGAAAACTCCCTTCCCCTGGCAGTGTTTCATCTTTCAAATATTCAAATACACACACACACACACACACACACACACACACACACACACACACACACACGGATCTTGTGAGAATTAATTTACTGGAAATTACATCTCTAGCACTATTGAGGGGTTTGCCCTCAGATGAGTAGGGTGGAAGAGTTGGCAGCCCGTTAAGCCATCATTCCTTCAAGGGAAGATAATTCAAAATAGTCATAGAGATGCTGCCTGGAAGCTGTCTTCAAGGATTATATAGTGAAATATCCTGCATTTAATTTTTCAAAAAGATGGAGTGGGATGGGGAGAGGTAGAGTATCTCTGGGGCTTCAAAACCCTAGCAGGAAACTTTATATTTGGCATTTTGTTAATGATAATATTGAGCATCTGTTTTTGCAAACTACAAGCCTCTGGCCAAGGCCTGTCTTTTTAAAAAAACCTTTTATGAAGTTTTTTTGAAATACTGCATAGGTAGTATATATTACAGCACTTAAGAGAGTTCATGATTATTATTGTGGTACTCTTTAAAATGATGATCGGTATTCTCCTTCTTGTATTGCGTTTGGAAAAGGCTCAGAGAGTGGGGCTTGACTAAGGCTACTTTGTCAATTCATGGCCAAGGTTCAAACTTTGTAATGACCGCTCTGCTATGCTATTTAAGAACATTGAAGAAGCCATGCTGGATCATTCACTCCAACACTGTATGTCACACAGTGGCCTAAACCCAGGTGCCATCAGGAGGTCCAAGAGTGGCCTGGGGCTCTGGATAGAACATAGACAAAAGAAGCTCTCATGTATTTGCTGATAAGAAGGCTCTAATTCATAACTTGCTGTCCCGCTCTCATCTAAACACACGAAACTGTATTATATCAAATCAGACTACTGGTCTATCAAAGTCCGTATTGTCTACTCTGGCTGGTAGTGCCTCTCCAGGGTCTCAGGCAGAGATCTGGGATTGAACCTGGGACCTTCTGCATGCCAAGCAGATGTTCCATCATTGAGCCACAGCCCAGTGGCCCCTGGCTGATATCTCTGTACAAAAAAAGGACTATCCTGCCTGGAGACTCTCCCGACCTGTAACATCCATCGAGGGGGAACCAGAAAGGTTGCAGAATTCTGCAGATTTCTGCAGTCAAGGCAATTTTAAGCACATGCAGGTTGGGTTCCCCATTATGTGCTTGGAGGATGGCCCAGTGAAGGAAAGAGTACTGGGAATGGCAGCCTGTGTACAGTTTAAATCACAAACTTTTTGCTTTATTTAAAACATTTCTATGAAGCCTTTCCACCCAAATAGGGTTTCCCAAGGCTAGCTTTTGGGAAAGAATTTCACACCTGATTGAGAGTCAAAGCCTCCAGGTTCTGCAAAGGTTTGGTACCTGTGGATGCGTAGTAAGGAGCGAGGATCCCGAGACATAGGAAACCTTCTCGTAATGCGACTGGATGATCCAATTGGAACTGCCGAGGACATATCCGGAACTGAGAGGAGACACTTGTACAGCACCAAAAAGCTCCTGGCAGAGGCATTAGGAGAGAGAAGAAAAAGAAAACCCTATGAACGGAAAATACTTCCTCTCCTCCAGTGAATTATTCTAACAGTGGTATTATTATTTTTTTGGTATTTTTTGCATTTGTGTGTGTGTGTGTGTGTGTGTGTGTGTGCGCCCATGCCTGTAAGTCATGGCAACCTCTGGTGACTCCCACTGGGGCACGGAGGATGTTCAGAGAAGTGGCTAGATAGCCTGCCTCTGCCTCCCAGCCCTGGTATTCTTTGGAGGTCTCCCATCCAAATACTTGCCAGGGTTGGCCCTGCTTAGCTTCCAAGATCTGATGAGACTGGGTTTGCCTAGGCTATCCAGGTCACGTCTTTGTGTGTGTGTGTGTGTGTGTGTACGTGTGTGCCTAGGCATCATGATTAACTTCTGGCGACCCCTAGTAGGGCTTGGACCATCAGAGAAGTGGCTTGCTATTGCTTGTCTCTGCTTCCTGGCCCTGGTATTCCTTGCAGGTCGCCCTTCCAAGTAGTTGCCAGGGTCAGCCCTGCTTAGCTTCCGAGATCTGACAAGATCAGACTTGCCTGGGCTATCCGGGTCAGGGCTAGTGGCACTATTTTCTGAAAGCTATATGGGAACTTCAACATTCAGAGGAAGTGTATCTGTGAATTATAGATGCCAGAAACAAAGTACAAGGAAGAGCTGTTGCCTTTGTGCTCTTGTCAGATTCCAGTACACAGAAAACAGGCCAGGGATGGAAACAGAATACTGGGCAAGATGGATTTTTGGTTTAAGCCACTTTCGTTTTTGTGCTAGCAATTGTATTTAAAGCTGCTTCCGCTATCTACAGCTAGCTCATTGCTCCAAAAAGAAATGAAGAGGCTGATCTGGACTGCTCCTAGATAAATCTAGATTTTTTAAAATAATTATTTTATTTCGGACACTCACTATTTTCTGGGAGTACCCAACCAGCTGGATCTTGCTGAGCGCTGAGTTCACTTCCTGCATGCTGTAGCACCTCCTCCACGTTGCCACTTCAATGGCATCTTTTAACGGGACAGGCAGCAGCCTGGAGAGAGTAGATCAGATTAGGGTTATACTGGCAGACCAAAAGGCCAAACTTATCAAACTTTAGAGGGCGTGGATGATCAGGGAGAACGAACAGTGGAAAACGCAGCATTGAAAATCAACCGATGATCTCTCAGGCTCAATTCATGCATTAATGGCAGGAGTGTGGAAATGGCATCCTTGTGGCTCTTTCATCCCATGTGTCTCCAGCAACATCCTGGAGCAGGTACAGCACAGGAACTAAAAAACTATGGCTTGGATCCTAAGCAGCGCAAGCGTAGGAGCGCTAGAGGAAGGGAGCTTTCCCTCCTGGATCACCTTCCTTCCCTTCCAGTTTGGTGTAGTGGTTAAGTGCGCGGACTCTAATCTGGGAGAACCGGGTTTGATTCCCCACTCCTCCACTTTCACCTGGCTGGATGACCTTGGGCAAGCCATAGGTCTGGCACAGCTGTCCTTGAAAAAGGGCAGTTTCTGTCAAGAGCTCTCTCAGCCCCACCTACCTCACAGGGTTCTGTTGTGGGGAGGGGAAGGGAAAGGAGTTTGTAAGCCGCTCTGAGACATCTTTGGGTAGTGAAGGGCAGAGTATAAATCCAATCTCCTCCTCCTCCTCTTCCACTGCAGCCTTTTGTACTCCATCGAACTGTGCAGCTATAGTTGGAGACACCCCTAGGAACAATGCCAGGGGCAGAGTAGGGGTCTGCTACTGGGGGGGAGGGGGAATCAGCAGGAGCTTCCCTGCTCTGCAACAGAAAGGCTGTTCCATCAGCAGAACCACTGTCACACCCATGAGGTGGTGCCAAAGGCACACACTGCAAAAGAGATCCGAGGAATTGATTAAATGCCCCGGTGAACCCACAGCACCCAAAAGAGGAGACTACCCAATGAACCTCTGCACACGTTACTGCTCTGCCCTCACTCTTTCTTTTTTTTTTCCAATCAGCCTCTGCTGAGGGTGGGAAGAGATGGACACTCTCTCCCAGGTCTTCCATCTAGTTGCCAGCAAAGAGAAAAAAAACGTGGGGAAGTGGCTCCTACGCCACTCTAATAATGGAAAAATCTTAAGTCTTGGGGGGACAGAGCGTGGCTGTGTGGTATAGTGGTTAACCGTATTTGACTAGGACTACAGAGACCCATTTGGGAATTGCCAATTATTATAACACTTAGTATTTGTATCATGCTCTTGGAGTGTAAAACATTTCTAGGTCCTCAGTGCCTAGTTGGGCATTTAAATCACTGCATCACACTGGTTTGCAACACTGACTGAGTTGCATGATATTTCTGAGAGCGGCACTAAGACCTCTCCGTAATTTCCAATAGCCCATTGCGTTGCACATATTGCAGTGCTTTTTTAAAAAAAAATACAGAAAGTTGGAAAGGGATATCTGAGAAACCATGAATGGCAGCATCACAGGACATAAAATGAATGGCTGTCTCCTGGCAAATAAATCTCCTTCGGTTCTCTGAGTCCAGACAGGAAGCACTGCGAGCTGCCAAAGAGTGGAAGAAGAATACGATTTTTTTTTTGTATATTAAACAGATGCTAAATCAAAAGCTAATTCCAACCCATTTCTAATGATTTATGGAAATCAGTCAAGCTTCCCCGATGGTTCTTTTTTAAAAAGACCCCCTAATTTATGGGTCTCTCTGTTGGGTCAGTGAACCTCCCTTCCATAATTCAAGACACCAAAGAAAACGTTAAGGAATGCTTCTTGCCAAGACTACTGTGGTGCATCTAGTGTGTGGAACTGCCATTCAACGCATGCTGAAATGAAGCAAGCCATGATTTGTCCTCTGTCGGGAAAGAGAGAAAATCCTGCGGGAGCTCGAGGATAAAGAGCTATCACCTCACCTGCCATTTTGTTGCCCGACACTCCAGTCAGAACAGATGCTTTTGGAGCTCTTTCATGGGATTTCATTGTATTTTGACATCATCTGCAAATTTAGCCGCCTTACAGCTCGGTCCCATCTCCAAACTATTTAGAAATTGCTACGTACATCATGTTACGCAGTAACGATCTTGGGGAACCCCATTTTTTATGTCCCTCATTACGAAAAGTGCCCTTTGCTTTCACATCTCTAATCAGCCATCAAACCACAAGAGAACCTGATGCTACCCTCCTGTGAAAGGCAAAGCTACATCTCTGACATCACAGTGACAGGGCAATTGGCCCCCACTGGGTCTCTTCTCAGTTTGTAGCCCTCCTCCAGCCCTGGCACCCACATTCTCAGGCTCTTCCTCCAAGCCCCTTTGCTAAACAGGAGCCATTGCCATTTTCAGCATCCCCCCTGAAAACCACATTTTTTGGGGGGAGGGGAGGATAGAAGAGAAGGGGGGAACACATAAGCCATCAAGGCTCCATTTTATTAATTAAACTCAAAACCAATGGAGTTAGAAGTTGCTCAGCAATTAGCTCAGATTGCATGAAGTAATGGGAGGGGGGGGGGAGAAACGCCATTGTTCAGGTGCACTTAGTACTTTCTCTGCAAACCATTGAGTTTAAAATGCACTGGTGCTTTATATAATGAAGGCAACAGCTCTTGGTGCACGCAGCCTACTCAGGTGGAAAGCGACAGGGCAATCCTTCAGGCTGTCCCGAGAAAGAGAGAGAGCGAGGCGGCGCACAGTCAGTGGCCCGACACAACGGCTGGCATTAACCAAAAATAAAATGGCACAGCCAACATCAGTTCAGTCTTCAGGTGTGTGGATCTCCTTTCAGCATCAGACTTGCTTTTAAAAATAGCCTCCTCCAAAGGGCATGAGTAGTAGCTTCCTGCCGACATGGCACCATCAAGCATAACTGCTATCCATCACACTTTATCCTGCCAGTCATCTAAAGAGCTCAAGGTGGCGTACATGGTGTCCCCCCCCCTTCCAATTTCTCTCTACAACAACCTTGTGGGGGAGGTTAAGCCCAGAGAGAGAGAGAGTGATCAGCTCCCCGCCAAGGTCTCCCAAGGAGTGTTGTGACAGAGTGAGGATCTGAATCCAGGTCCAATCAAACACTCTAACAGCTACCAGCCTGGCTTTCATTTGAGGCTCAGAGGTCCTTCACGGTTACAATGGAAGAGTCAAATAGATAGCTTTACAGGAGGGTTCTTATGACCAACCATGGCACTGCTATTACTAGCTGCGTCATATTCCCAAGCCACTGGCTGTACACATGGAGAGAGGCAAAACCTGATCACAGAATATACTGGGAGTTGACACAAGGCAAGCTCCACGAGCAACAATGGCCTGCGTACTCTTGTTTTCATGTGTGGCAACAGCAACTAGAAGTAACCAGGTAAAGTACTGAGAATCAACCTTCATTCAGAGGAGGGAACATTGTACTGCAGGAATCATGTGAATGCTGAAGGTACAAGCAAGATATTTTAGCCAGTGTCAGTCTCCTACTGGTCTACTATGAGGGACCAGTAGTGGGATGGGAAATGCCTTATAGTCTACACAGCTAACTTTTGCCGTAGACAGCAGTGGGATTCTTCACTGCTTCTCAGGCAAAAAGGCACTCCATGTGGTGATATGCAGGAAGCTGACATGTGGATAAACTCTGAGCTGATTTCTCACTAGTGCTGTGAGCAAATATGTCATAGCACCTTTCAGGCAATAGTGGCTATGGAACCCAACTTTCATTCTTTTGTATGTTTTTAAGGTAAGCAAGTTTTTCGTGCTGAAGGTAGGCTTAGAAGTGTGTCAACAAATGCCTAGCAAAATTGTAGAAGACGGCCAGGCGGTTTTTCCAGTGGAAAGAGGCAGTGGGTCTTGCATGGCTCTTTGAGAGCCAGTTTGGTGTAGTGGTTAGGAGCACAGACTGTCATCCGGGAGAACTGGCTTTGATTCCCCACTCCTCCACATGCAGCTGCTGGGTGACCTTGGGCAAGCCACAGTTCTCTCAGAGCTCTCTCAGCCCCACCTACCTCACAGGATGTCTGTTGTGGGGAGAGGAAGGGAAGGGGATTGTAAGCTGCTCTGAGACTCTGAGTGAAGGGCAGGGTGTAAATCCAGTCTCCTCTTCTTCTCTTCTTTGTCTCCGACCCTTGATTGTTTATTTTCTTTTATTCACTTCATTTATTTCCCACCTTTCTCCCCAATGGGAACCCAGTGCAGCTTACACTGTTCTCCTTCCCTTCATTTTACCCTCACAACAATCCTGCAAAGTAGGTTAGACTGAGACTGTGTGAGTGGCCCCAAGGTCACCGAGTAGGATTCCATCACAGAGTCGGAATTTGAACATGGGTCTCCCAGATCCTCATCAAACACTATAATCACTATGCCATGCTCTCTAGCAAAAAGAGAATTAATTATGATGAGCTAACACATTCAAAAGGCACTCACTTTACACTGAAATGTTAAAAAATTAACCTTTCAAGGAGATGCAGAGGGCAGGGTTGGTGTGGTAGAAGGAACACCAGTAAACATGTATAGTAACATGGAGATCAAAGCATCTCCCATTTCACTGGAGGAGGAATTCCCCCATGCTGAGAAACCATAAAATGGGTATTGTCCTTTTGCAGGTGGTTCCCAAAGAAAGCTACCTCAGGGTGGGTGCAGAGGCTTACCTTTGCACTTCCTTATTCTTCCACAAGGAGGCAGACTGAGACTTCGGCACCCGTTCAATAAAATTCACCAGCTCCTCCATAAGAAGCCTGAGAACAGAAAATAGAAACATCAACAAAACTCCCACAACGACTAAAGGACAAAAGGCAGGTGACTGCAAGGTCACATGAGAAAATATTTGTACATTCAATGAAATCAAGGGGCACTACTTCTCCTGGCTTCTTCCACTTGTGGCTGCAGGTTTATGGAAGGTGTTTTTATTGCTGAATGTCTCCTCTTTATAAGAGACTCCTTGCATACAGAAAACTAGCTTCCCAAGGGGAAAACCAGGCCGAGGCCTTCTTCTCTTGATCTGATTGCTTCCCATGGGCAAGGAATTTCTTTTGTTCCTCCCCAGGGGGGCAAACATTCACCTTCCCCCTGTCCCCCAACTGAAGTAGTTTGTCTTACAGTGGAACAAGATAAACCACTCCCTATTCATTCACAGAGCTTTTGTATTTAGCAGCCCATGTCAGTGAGGTGCAATCAGAGGAGGGTTCCTTTGTGGGCCTTACTCAGGGAAACTTGCACATCGCCTTTTGTGAGCATCCTGTTAACAACCTCACAAAGGTGCAAGGCTGGCTGATCGGTAACATTCGGGAAACAAGGGGTTAAACACACACTTAGAGCCGTTCCAGCTTCTTTGGCTGGCATTCAACTCCTCCTTAAAAGCCCCACAAGAACATTAGAAGCAGCGTGCCTCTTCCCGTGTCGTCCTTTATACCTTTTTCTTCTTCCTTTGGCAGCGGATGGAACATGATTAGATCAATGACGCTAAGAGGATTTTTCTTACCTGCCAATTTGAACAGTCGGCTCCGTGGCGTACACCGTTCCGGTGAATCCGGCATGTTCTGTGATGTAGGGCAAGGCCATCATGCAGTGGTAGTTGGAAATCAGGATCACGTCCACGGTAGACAGATCTATTAGTTCCATCTGCAGATGAGAGAGAAGAGTCTCAGGCACTGTTCTGGGGGAAACAGACTCTACGATTTCTCCACTCTCATGCAACAGAGCCTGGATTGACTATAATGCATAGATGTCACCCCTACACTGCAGCTGATTAGCGCTAGGCAGTTTTCCTGAAAACTTGCCACCTCTTTTTGTGTATTAACTTTACCCCAAGAATGCACACGGGGCTTTACAGAGTAACGTACAAGACTGCTGGCACCCTCTCCAAGAGGGAATTACAAACAAAAATTCAATGCAGGGGGCCGATAGCAGAGGTCAAGAGACCACCTACACTGCTGGTGAGAAAGGTATTTTTATTAATATGGAGCAGCCTTATAATGAACCGAACCACTAGTCTATCAAGGTCATCATTGTCTACTCAGCTGGCATGACCCTGCAGAGTTTCAGGCAGAGGGCTTCCATATTGCCTACTACCTGATCCTTTAAACTAGAGAAGCCAGGGATTCATAGAATCATAGAATGACAGTGCAGGATCAACCTAGACCATCCCTGACAAGTGTTTGTCCAGCTGATGCTTAAAGACTGCCAGCGAGGGGGAGCTCACCACCTCCCTAGGTGCCTGATTCCACTGTTGCACAACTCTTACTGTAAAAAAGCTTTTCCTAATATCCAGCCAGGACCTTCCTGCCATTAATTAAAACACATGATTGCGAGTCCTATCCTCTGCTGCCAACAGGAATAGCTCCCTGCCCTCCTCTAAGGGACAGCCCTTCAAGTACTTATAAAGAGCAATCATGTTCCCCCTCAATCTCTTCTTCTCCAAACTGAACACTCCCAAGACCCTCAGCCTTTCCTCATAGGGCTTGGCCTCCAGGCCCCCAATCATCCTCATCATTTTCCTCTGCACCCACTCCATTCTGTCTGCATCCTCTGTGAAGTGAGGCCTCCAGAACTGCACACAACACTCCAGGTGTGGCCTGACCAATTTGTAACCTGCTACCGTAGCTGGCAGTGGTCCACAAATGTCTGAGTGGATTAATTCCAGGATCTCCGTGGTCGTCTTCTCGGATTGCTTTGGAAATGGAAGCCAGATAGCCTTTCCTTCTAGGCAACAAACACATTTGGGACCTTCTGATGCTCTGCCATTGAACTGCACGCAGCACTATTAGTCCTTCTGCAGGGTGACTTCAGTTTCAACCCACTGATTTCATTAAGCGTAGACTTGAATACCTCTGCAAAGGATTGCCCCATAGGACAAACACTTGTTCTCTGCTGCTCCAGAGGGCAAGATGAGGTCTAATGGCCCCAAGTTATAGCAGGGTAGAACTCAGGTGAACATTTGAAGGAATTTCCTAACGGTAAGAGCTGTTTGACAAGGGCACCAATTATTGAGGAAGGTGTGAGGGACTTTCCATTGCTGGAAGTCTCCCGGCAGAGGCTAGACAGCTGTCTCTTGGGAATGCACCGGTTTGGATTCCCTGCACTGAATGGGGAGGGGGTTGGACAGGATGGCCTATGTGGCCCCTTGTGACTCCATGGTTCTCTGGGCTGGTGCACAGAGAAGCAAGATGCATTGGACTGCACGGAGCTCTTCCATCCCATCACAGGGACCATAATTAGAAATATTTACTGGTAAGCCGTAACACTGGTGATGTCAATCTGGAAACCTTACCAGAAATTTAACCTCTAACTCGGTTATAACAGAGCAGCTAATGGGATTCAATAATCATCAAGCAGGAAAATTATCTGCTGACAAGGCTCAGCCATCGATTGGAAGCTAAAGGCACAGAAACAGGTCAAAAACTTAATGCCCCCAGTGGACGTATGGACAGATGAATTTGGAGCCAAACCACTGGTTCATCTCACCCGATGCCATTATGCTCCGACTCTCTATGAATTTAGGCAGAATGAGGTCTTTCCCGGCACCTGGTATGAAATCATTTTTAATTGGAGACAAACCTGGGACCTCTTGCATGCCAAGTGTGTTCACTGCCAATGGTCAAACTAATTTGGGGAGTATCCAAACGAAGGTCGATGCTAGATTTTGCAAGAAAACGTTTCCAGACAGCAATATGTCTAGGAATGCAGAAGAACACCACGATACTCATTAAAAGTGTGTGTGTTATGTGCCATCTTATAACAACCCTATCAATTAGTGGCCTTGAAAACATCCCAAACGTTAACAGTCTTGCTCAGGTTCTGCAAACTGAAGCCCATGGCTACCTTTATTGAGCCAAGCCATCTCAAGCCTTCACTTTTCCTACTGCCTTCAACTTTTCTTAGCATTATTGTTGTTTCCAGTGAGTCTTGACTTCTCTTGATGTGCTCATCAAAAGAGCTCCCTGAGAAAAGGTGCTCTTGTGCTCCCTTTAACTAATATACTTCAGAAAGTCACTACTACTACATGTAGTAACAGCTAGTAGCACAGACAGCTTTATGTAAGTAAAAAAGGGACTACGCGAATTCATGGAGACAGCTATTTCATCTGCTATCAATCACAAACAAATGGATGCTCCGGGTGCAGGCTCAGGAGGCTGGAAGGGAAAAGCCACAGACCCTGCTCGTGAGCTTCCTGGCGCATCTGGTCGCCTGGGCACAGAATGCTAGACAAGATGGTCCTTCGTCTTACCTGGCCATTAAAATCAAGGGTGGTTTTTGATCCCAATCTTTCCCATCTGCCTTCACTACCTTTTTTAATGCCTCCTTGATGACCCTATTATTTCTCTCGACCAATCCGGAAGCCTCCAGATGGTAGCTGATATGGAATCTTTGCTTTATACCTAACAATTGGCACAGTTCCTGCATTACCTGGCCAATGGCTACCGCAATCTGAATTTAACCCTTTAGGGATCCCAAAGCGAGTGATCACATGGTTCAGTAATTGCTTGGCAGTAGTTCTAGCTGCGTTGTCCTTGGTGGGGAGAGCTTCCACACATTTTGAAAAACTATCCACTAGAACCAAGCAGTACTGATTTCCTATAAAGTCTATCTGAACATCTGACCACACCCCACTTGGTCTTTGGTGTCTTAAGTCCCCTTTCTTAATCTTAGCACAGCGAAGGCAATTATAACACCATTGTTTCACACACACACCCCAGCCTTAACCAGGAAAGTACCGGGAGATTCACTTTGAATAAACACCATCTAGATTTGATGGGAGAGCATCGTGCCAGCAGAAAGATTTCACAACCTAAGGAAAGATTTTACAAAACCACCCTTCACCCCCCCACCCCCCCGTTCTGTTTTAACACAAGAGTCTGACTGAAGAGTTCAACATTATAAATGCTTATATGAGGCTATTCATTATAGACAAGGAGGAACACTATATACTTTACACTCTTAAATATATATACCATATCCTCCGGTATATATAATTCTATTTTGGTCATGGACTCCCCTGAACATTCCAACACGCTCCAAAATCAGTTTGCTCTCTGATCTGTCATTCAGAGGGTCTCCCTATCCACTGGCTGCTTTGCCTGAGTCCTGCCTCCAACATTCTAAACAGTTTGCTCTTCCTCTCCCCCCCACAGCCAGTCAGAACACAGAGGTCATTTGCATATGTGGCCTCACTGGCCTTTCCCTCTAACATTCTAAACAGTTTGCTGTTGATGTTATCAGGTAAAATAAATTTCCCCTTAGTGTCTGTTGGGGGAAACCATGGTTGCAAATCTCCAGGGCTGAAGATCACTCAGAATTATAACTGCTTTCCAGCCCACTCTAGGAGTGGGTACCCATTTATCTACTTGCCTTAAGGGCTTTCGAACCGCTGGGTGGGCAGGAGCTGGGACATGGGCCGGGAGCTCACACTGGTCGTGGTGGGACTCGAACAGCTGTTAAGGCTGTTCGGTGATAGATTACTTTTTGCAGGCTTTAACTGGCTGTGCCACCGCTCCCGGTGTAGATTCTATGGCATTATACCCTGTTGAGGTCCCTCCCCACCCCAAATCCTGCCCTCCCCAGGCTCTACCCCTCAAATCTACAGGTATGTTCCAACCCAGAGTTGGCAACCGTGTAATCGGCTATGGTCCCACTTTCCAGACCCTTGGAACCCAGAAAACATGGCACTGGAGGAGATGCTTTTCTACCTTAACTGTGACTGAACAGCCCCAAAATAACATAAGCCAACCTCCAAGCGGCACCTGGAGATCTCCAGCTATTAAAACTGATGTCCAGATGACCAAGATCAGTTCTCCCGGAGACAATGGCTGCTTTGGGCAGTGGATTCTATGGCATTATACCCTACTGAGGTCCCTAACTACCCCAAATCCTGCCCTCCCCAGGCTCTACCCCTCAAATCTACAGGTATTTCCCAACCCAGAGTTGGCAACCGTGTAATCAGCTATGGAACTACTTTCCAGACCCTTGTAACCCAGAAAACAGGAGGAGGTGCATTTCTACCTTAGCTGCCACTGCATAACACCCCCCTCCCCCTCAAAAAATAAGTCAGAGGTGGAGAGAACCATATCTGTTACCATGAGGCTGTCCTCCCATTCTACCCACTTGGGGCAGCAAAATGACTTGAGACAGCCCTGCCTTATAGCTAAGCAGAAGGAAAGAAACATGGCTTGCCTCCCTCCATTTCCCGCTTCCCTCTGCTGCCCCACCAGCCACAGTTGGGACTCTCATCTGGAGCTGCCTTCTAGATCTCGTTGTATTTCTTCACACAACGGGCATTACTGAGCTCATATACACAGGGCTCATGAGGCCTGTTGGGTTGGATAGTTGAGGGCTGAAGAAGAGGAACTTTGGCCTAGATAAAATATTCCAGAAAAATCAAATGGGGTGCCAGTCATAATTGAATCCAGACAATTACGTACTTCACCCCTAAAAACCCCAAAGGGTCACGATGACATTCTGGCACAGGAGGCCTTATGTAAGGGTACTGACGTGAGAGACCCAGACCATTATTCCACCTTTGAAAAGAAGGGTCAAGATGACATTCTGGCAAATGAAGGGGAAATTTCAAATAGAAAGCCCCGGAAAAAACAAGATATTAATAAATTTTATAATTGATTGGGGAGGAGGAATAAGCGTCTGAAGAGCTGATTGGTGGATGTAGGTGGGTGGATAAACGGCAGAATGATATAAAGGGAGAGAGACGATGCTATGGAGGTA